GCTGGACTGGAAGTTGCACACGGGCATGGATTCCACCAGCTTGATATGACATCATGGCTAATATCGTTCTAACGCATTTTGCCCCTCCCCCAGGGTGTCTTCAGAGGCCTAAGTATCTTCCATCCTGAGATTTAGGGTCTGTGTCAATAGGCTTTGGGCTTGTTACATCAGTTTGAGAGGCTTTTAAAATCAATCAGCATAGACATGTGCAGTGCAGTTGACATCCTTCTGTCCTGCTTCAGGTGTGTTGCCTCCCCAGAGTCTTGTATAAAAATAAACAGAAGCCCATTGGTCCAGATCCTTGTGTAGCCCTACCAGATAGTAGAAGTGGGTTGGTAACCATACTTCTCTACTGCATTTAAGCCTGGCACCCTACCCTCAGTATGTGATTAGACAGTGAAAGAACATCAGAAGACCAAAACATTCATAAAACTCAGTCTGCTCACTTCTCCTGTCAGCATGCTCCTCATATGCATGAAGGACACTTGATTGGCTACTATCTCTGGATGTCCTTCTTATAGTCTGAATGCTACTGTACAGGGGATTACAAGAGACTGACCCCAACTCAAATTAAGGTGTTTACACTAGCTGCATCTAACAATATTGTTCATATATTTTTACCACTTGCCTTCCAGAGGATTTACCCCCCTTCCTGACCAGGCAATTTTTTGCGATATGGTGCTGCGTTACTATAACTGACAATTGCAGGGTCATGCAACACTGCACCCAAATTATTAAATTTATGTCCTTTTTTTCCCACAAATTGAGCTTTCTTTCAGTGGTATTTAATCGTTTTTATTTTATGCACTATAAACAAAAAAAGACCGACAATTTTGAGAAAAAAACAATATTTTTTACTTTTTGCTATTAAATAAGTTCAGTAAAAAAATTTAAAAAAAATCAAATTTCATCATAAATTTAGGCCAAAATGTTTTCTGCTACATGTCTTTGCTAAAAAAAAAAAAGCCCAATATGTGTAAATTAATTGGTTTACTTTAAAGTTGTAGCATTTACAAATGGTGGTATGTATACTGGATTTTTTTTTTTAACACTAGTAATGGGGGGCAATCAGCAGGATTATAGCAGGACCGTGGGACTGCGGCGGGCATTCTGACACTGGGGGGAACTGACTGGCACTGACATCCCCAGTGACACTAATATAGTGATCGGTGCTAATAAAAAGCACTGACACTGTACTAATGACAATGGGCAGGAAGGGGTTAACATCTGGTGCAATCAAATGGTTAACTGTGTGCTGTTTTACAGTGTGCTGTTTGTGTGTTTCACTGTATAAGCACATTGCTTTGTATTGCTCTGCTATGCAGAGGAATATAAAGCAGTGTGCAGGAGCAGACAGGGGAGAGACCTGTATTGTTTACATACAGACCTCTTCCCCATCAGTGATACTCTGTCATCGACAGCCCACCAATGGCGGCGTGGGTAGGGCATGCACGCTCCCTACCCAGAAATGCAAAATCATGTACAGTACATATGTGTGATTTGGTGCAGCCCTGCCGCCCTGTAGTAGTATTTATGCTATAGGGTGGTGGGAAAGCGGTTAATTGTGTACAAATATGCATCAAATGTGATTTTTATACCTGCCAGGAGTTAAACTTTAAGAACTAAAGGTGTTCCTATTATTCATGTTTTACTGGGTTCTCTAGGGTTGGACATAGAAGGAGAGATTCTGACAGATTTCAGCATGCCTGTGATGATTGTGATCAATCCCAGAATGATAACAAGCACTTTCGAGCAATAGATGCACTTCTTATGCAAAGGGAAAGAAGGAAACGCAATAATCTGGTGCAATAATACACTTTATTAAGATGAGTTAAAAACAATTAAAAATGCATTCACGTGTACCATAGAATGCCACAACCTAAACGAAAGGGGCAGATGAACACTGAAACCACAGCAGTGGTTCAGTGTGAATGACAGTACCATCTTCTTCTGTCCACTCCAAGAGGACGGAAATGTCATTCATACTACACTGCTGGGCCCTGGTGTCAGTGTTCATGTCCCACTCACTTCTGGACTGTGTGCAAAGCATTCTCAATCCTATGCTACATGCGAGTGCATTTTAATTGTTTTTTATTTCATCTTAATAAAGGGTTTTATTTAGCCAGATCCCTGTGCTTCCCTCCTCTTTGTCTTTAAATTTTTTCAAATGTTATGCATCGCCTTGTGCATGGTGTTTTTTGGGACTGCTTCAAAGAAAGAGTCTACAAGAGAAGATCTTTACTTACCTAGACTGAAGTTTCTGATAAATCACATGTAGCATGGAAGTGTTAAGTGTTTTTTTTTTGATTTTCATACTTATCATTATATGAAGAGATTAGCAATGAGTAAATCTGCCTGGGATCAGTTCACACACAAGTTTGTGCATCTTGCTCAAAGTTCGAAATGCACAAACTTTGTGGTGAACCCCATTGAACTCTATGGGGGACAAATCTCATTATTTAAATGTAGCCAATTGTAGGACTAATAAGTAAGTTTTTGTCACTGCTATGAGGAACATGCACTAATGCAAAAAAAAAAACCCAAAACAGTATCTTTCTTTACGCAGAATTGTCAGCGCTCCTTATCTCTTTACATTATTGCCTCTTGTAAATTCGTTTTTGGCTAAAGTTCACAATTCAGGAATCCCAGGAATTTGCTTTAAATCCACGATAGTACCAAACTTGAACTTCAGCACTAGCAGAAATTAGAAAATGTGAAAAAATCTTTACATGGCCAATTGCCAACCTTTCCTTTTTTTCTAAAGAGAATGTTGGATACACCTTCAAGTTACAGCATCATATCTTTTAGCCAACTTGGGGAGAAGGCTGGAGTATTTCCCAGCAGAATGCAGCAAAAGTGATTTGGTGAAATTAGCAGTTTTACCTTTGCTGGGTTTTTGATGAGGTGAAACTAGTCAATTTAGCTCACCCATACTATCTCCAACTATGTTGTTTTTTTCTTAACAACGCAATTTGGAATTTACAATGAAAATAGAGTGAAAAAGAAGGAAAAAAGATGATTTTTTTTTTAAGCTGAGACTCACAGTCATAGAATTTAACAAGCAACACCATGTCAAGCAATATAAAGTAGGTTTGATGTTACCATGACAATAAGATGAAAAAATAAATTACATAAATTAGAATCTTACTTCCATATTGTAGACAATGGGTGTATTAAATCCAGATCATGTGTGTAAAATTAAGTCACAATAGGAAATGTTATCTACAATTAGCATGTACAATGTGACACAATATGGTTATTCTTAGGTAGTTGTATCTGACATAATGAAATATAAAAATATTATAGAGAAAAAAAGAAAAATGGTATACATTATTAGGTAAGGCGTTACAGTTCAGCCTCTAGAATTTGTCATGTACAGGGTCAGTCAATATACTGCCATTTAAATTCAATGAGACTAGAAAAATGACCGGTTAAAAGACAAACTCTACGATCATATCATATAGCAAAGGTTTTCTCCATGTTATGAACCAGTTCTACTTCACGTAACCAATCGCGAATTGAGGGAGTATGTGAGTATGTGACATTTTCCAATATCTTGGAATAAGTATTTTGACTGCATTTAGTAAATGTCTCGTCATAGAAAACATATCTCTTGAGAGAGTATGAAGAGACATGTAGTAAGCAGCAAGCCAGGGTAAGCCTCAGTTTGGTGTCAGTAATGCTGTAAATTAGATGGCAAACTTGTTTCCAGAAATTAGCAATTAGCTACCGAATGTTGAGCATTGCACCCCTATCTTGTCCACATCTTTAGCATATGTCAGACATCTGTGGGTACCATTTCTTAAGTTTAACAGGTGTGGCAAACCAGTGTATAAGTATTTTGTATGAGGTATCCTGCATTTGGGTACTTATGGAACATTTGTGTGCTAAAATGCACAATTCTTTCCATTGTTGCTCTGGAATAGGTTCACAAAGAACATTCTCCTAGAGGGTTTTGCAGTTATCTTGTCTTTCATTGTTTTTTGACTATAACCAAGAGTATGCCAACAAGGTAACTCTACTTGTCTTGGAACCTTTAGCATATCACCTCCAACTTTGGTAAAGGTCTAGAGAAATTTTTTTCTGTTTATGGTTAGTGAGATAGTTGTGGATTTGAAAGTAAGCTCAGTATGGAATGTTGACCTCTCCGCAAACCTCTTGTAAAGCAGTTCGGGATTTCATTACTCCTGATTGTAAGCAATGGGTAGTCAGTAGAAGAGTTCCTTCTTTTGCGAGTGTTGGCCTCTTTATTCATACCTGGAGTGAACTCTGGATTGTTGGTTAATGATGTCAAAGGACCTGGTATGGTAGCAAGTGATTGGTGATAGCTATTTTATGAAAATTATTCAGTGTATAGCCTATCAGAGGGCGAAGGTTTAAGTGTTCAGGATAATGGGATTGTGAAATCCAAGGGAGATATAATGGCAGTGACATGTATGTGCATTCTAAACGTATCCAATCTTTATTACTTGTGTTCCAATCCTCTATCCTTGTAATATATGTTGCATAATAATACTGCTTAAAAGTCTAGTAAGCCCATACCACCAAATTCTCTAGAGCGTGTGATCAAATGGAACTGAATACAAGGTTTTTTATTTGCCTATACAAAATTTTGTTGCACTTGGAATCGTTTGAAAAAACTAGAAAGTAATTTAAACGAAAATGCATGCATGCAATATAGTAATCTCTGAAAATAATCATTTTAACAATAACTGCTCTACCAAACCAGGAGAAGTTTCTTGTATTCCAATTCTTCCAAATCTCATTCTATGTCTTATCATAAAGGAATGAAATTTTAATTGTATAAGTCTTCTAATTTTGGTGTATGGCTTATACATCTAAACATTTCAATGCTTCTGGCTCCCATATGAGAGAGCAGTTTTCTTGTGCAGCATGTGATGTTTCTATTGGTAGGGAGATATTTAATGGCCTCCCGCCCGCCATATAAGGTAATGACGGGCGCAAGGCGGTTCTCTCGTTCTGGGAGGACATCATAAGACGTCCTCCTATTCTAACCGTGCATGCGCAGCTCCAGGAGCACGCAGCGCGGCGATCAGTGGTGCGCTGTGTCCCTCAGACACAGCTGATCACTGATGAACGGAAAAAGCCAAAGATGTCAGCTCGGTCATGTGATCAGCTGTGTCCAATCACAGTTGATCACATGTAAATAGAGAAATGTCGGTTATCGGCATTTCTCTCCTCACGAGCTGTCACGCTGACAGCTCGTGAGGAGAGGAGAGCCAGTAATTGGCATTACTCAGAGAGGACATGTGCACTGATCATCAGGGCACTGATGATCAGTGTGCCCTGATGATCTGTGTAGCCCCAGCAGTGCCACCTGTCAGTGTCCATCAGTGCCAACTGTCAGTGCTCATCAATGCCACCTGCCAGTGCCCATCAGTGCAACATCAATGCCACATATCAGTGCCTACCAGTGCACATCAATGCCACATATCAGTACCCATCTGAGCTGCCTTTCAGTGTCACCTATTAGTGCCAGTCAGTGCCACCTATCATTGCCAGTCAGTGCCGCCTATCAGTGCCCATCAGTGCTGCCTATCAGTGCCATCTAACAGTGCCAGTCAGTGCCACCTAACATTGCCAGTCAGTGCCACCTAACAGTGCCATATATCAGTGCCCAACAGTGATGCCTGTCAATGCCCATCAGTGCCACCTACCAGTGCCTTCTCATCAGTGCCCATCAGTGCCACCTATCAGTGTCCATCATTAGCGCACATCAGTGAAGGAAAAAAATCACTTATTTACAAATTTTATAACAAAAACTAAGATAAATCTTTTTTTTCTTCAAAATTTTCAGTTGTTTTTGGTTTGTTTAGCAAAAAATAAAAAACCCAGAGGTGATTAAATACCCCAAAAGAAAGCTCTATAGGTCTCAAAAAAATGATAAAAATGTCACATGGGTACAGTGTTGCATGACTGCGCAATTGTCATTCAAATTGTGACAGCGCTGAAAGCTGAAAATTGGCCTGGGCAGGAAGGGGGTATAAGTGCCCTGTAGGCTAGTAGTTAATGACTTATCGTAGTTTATTTTCAAATTGGAGATTTATCTAAACTTTTTGAACGTTTTAGGAGGTTTTCTTTTTTAGTGAGAGATCTACAAATCTATGGTACCCCCAAATATATTTATCCAATTGTACTTTTTAAAGCAGTCTGCATGTATATGTTAAAGTTATTTACCCATTTCTTACTCAATTTCCTTATGAATTAATAGCTACCTTACAGGGATGTCACTGCTTTCTTCTTCTGCTCCGGTAAAAAAGAGGATATTGACATTCTGAGGCATGCGTGACTATAGCAAGTGATAAATATGTTTTTTTACTTTAGTGAACTGACAATTGAATTTTTTTTTTATCATAAGGAACCCTAAATAAACTATAAATGAAAGCATTTTATAAATAATTTGCATGAAAAAGGAATGACATTTTATTTAGTGAACTACATTTTGACAGCAGAGGAGTGAAATACCAGCCCTTGCAGTGGACAAAGTACACGGTAGCACTTAGTGAATTGAGCGCAATGTGTATTTATGTTTAAATGAGAGCACACATTTTCTCTGAAAGTGCTCTCTTTTTTGTGAAGTATAAAAATGACTAGTGTCTGCAACAACATAAATGTATGGGAATGCATCTCCATTCAGTTTAAACTTTTAAACTGGTTTCTGCAAGGAAGCAGTATAAAGTTTGTATTTTAAAGGATAACTGTACTTTCATGAAAATATAGCAACTACAACCTAAAAAAAGACAAAGGCCATCTAGTTCAACCATAAAAAAAAAAAAGTTATAAACCTATACCCACAGTTGATCCAGAGGAAAGCAAAAAAACCCCAGCAAAGCATCATCCAATTTACTCCTGCTAGAGAAAAAATTTCCTTCCTGATCCACCTAAAGGCAATTGGATATTCCCTGGATCAACTTTACCTACAGTTGCAAGAAAAAGTATGTGAACCCCTTGGGATTACGTGGAGTTTTGCATGAATTGGGCATAAAATGTGCTCTGAACATCATCTAAGTCACAACAATAGAAGAACACAGTCTGCTGAACATAATACTACACAAACATTAGATGTTGCCATGGTTTAATTGCACATAACATGTAAACATTCACAGTGCAGGGAGGAAAAAAGTATGTGAGGTATGGGAGCATCATGGTTTGGGGCTGCTTTGCTGCCTCAGGGCCTGGACGGATTGTTGTCATTGATGGGAAAATGAATTCCAGAGTTTATCAAGACATTTTGCAGGAAAACGTACGACCATCTGTCCGCCAACTGAAGCTTCGCAGAGGATGGGTGATGCAACAGGACAATGACCCAAAGCATACAAGTAATTCAACAAAACAATGGCTGCAACAGCACAGAATACGCCTTCTGGAGTGGCCCAGTCAAAGTCCTGACCTCAACCCGATTGAAATGCTGTGGCATGACCTTAAGAGAGCGATTCACACCAGACATCCCAAGAATATTGCTACACTGAAACAGTTTTGTGAAGAGGAGTGGTCCAAAATTACTCCAGATCGTTGTGCAGGTCTGATCTTCAACTACAGGAAACGTTTGGTTGAGGTTATTGCTGCCAAAAGGAGGGTCAACCAGTTATTAAGTGCAAAGGTTCACATACTTTTTCCTCCCTGCACTGTGAATGTTTACATGTTATGTGCAATTAAACCATGGCAGCATCTAATGTTTGTGTAGTAATATGTTCAGCAGACTGTGTTCTTCTATTGTTGTGACTTAGATGACGATCAGAGCACATTTTATACCCAATTCATGCAAAACTCCACGTAATCCCAAGGGGTTCACATACTTTTTCTTGCAACTGTATAAATGTTAGTATCCAGTTATATTCTGTGTATCTACAAAAGAATCCAGGCCTTTTTCAAAGCAATCTACTGAGCTGGCCAGAACCAACACTTGAGGGAATCTATTCCACATTTTCACAGCTCTTACTGTGAAGAAACCTTTCCGTATTTGGAGATCTCCTTCAGACGTAAAGAGTGCCCCTTGTCCTTTGTGATGATCTCAGGGTGAATAACTCTACACCGAGTTCACTATATGAACCACTGATGTATTTATACATGTTGATCACATCCCCTCTTAATCTCCTCTTCTCAAGAGAGAAAAAAATGTAATTCCTTTAATCTTTCCTCATAGCTGAGCTCCTCCATGCCTCGTATCAGTTTGGTTGCTCTTCTCTGCATTTTCTCCAGTTCCCCAATGTTCTTTTTGTGAATTGGTGCCAAAAACTGAACTGCATATTCCAGATGAGGTCTTACTAATGATTTGTACAGGGGTAATATGATATCTCTCTCTCTGGAATTTATTCCTCTCTTAATACAAGAGAGGATTTTGCTTGCTTTAGAAACCACAGCTTGGCATTGCATTCCATTATTAAGCTTGTGATCTACCAGAACTCCCAGATCCTTCTCCACCATTGATTCCCCCAGTTGTACCCCCCCTAGTATGTATGATGCATGCATATTCTTAGCCCCCAAGTGCATAACCTTACATTTATCAACATTAAACCTCATTTGCTACATAGTTGCCCAATTACAAAGTGCATTGAGGTCGGCTTGTAAGTTGAAGACATCCTGTAAGGACGTTATTCCACTGCATAGCTTGGTGTCATCTGCAAAGACTGAAATGGTATTTTTAATCCCAGACCCTATATCGTTTATAAATATATTAACCGTTTCCTGTCTGCACTATAGTAGAAATACTGCTACAGGGCAGCACGGGTGCGCAAAATCACTTGTATATACGTGATCTTGCAGTTCCAAGTAGGAGGCACGCATGAGCCACTGCAGGTATCATCCTGGTATTGTTTTTTTCAGCCGGCGATCAGCCTTCATGTAAAAGCAATCCTAGTGGCTAATTAGCTGCACGACTGCTTTTACAAGCAGCAGGAAAAGATACCCCCCCCCACTGCCTTCCACGTCCTTCTCAGGCTGTCCCGTGCCATCGGGGGAACCTGAAAATGCAGCCGGTGTTTCTGCCAGCTGAACACAGAGCTGATTGGAGACCGGAATGGTGATAATCATCTCTATAGTCTAAGAAATCGGAAGCTACAAGCATTTCATCACTTCAGTTTTGCAGGATACAAACAGTGCCATTTGTAAATTAGGAAAGCATTTGATAACACCGATCTTGGTGAGATTAGATAATGTAAGGGCAGAGGAGATATCCAGAGTCTGATAGACCCCAGATTTCTCAAAAAAGAATATATGACAATGCCCATTGAAGTTATAGGGGATATATTTACATTCCCTATGATAGCATTAACCTCCCTGGTGGTATTCCCGAGTGTAGCTCGGGTAAAGTTTCAGTACCACAAGCGGTAACCCCGAGCTACACACGGGTTTACCATGCGGTGCTTCTCTGCGATCCCTCGATCACTTACCTTGTCCTGTGCTCCTGCGATGTCCCTCCTGCAGTGTCCCGGCAATGTAATCCGGCGGATGCCGGCATCTTCATCTGGGTTCCATCCCTTGCGAGCGTCGGGACGTACGGGGGGACGGAACAGTGGGAAATTTGAAAATGACAAAAAGTGACATTCACTAAAATCACTAAAATAACATAGTAAAACATTACTGTATCAAACCATTTCACATACATTTTGTCCCTACTGCTTTGTCCTGTGCCCTGCCTGCATTTTTACTGTTCTTATTGCCTGGAAACTGAGAAACATCCATGGCGTCCAAAAAGCGTCCCTTTAGGTCAAAAGCGGTTTAAGACCAGCTAGAGAACAGCGATAGTAAATCAGAACCACTTGCAGAATTGAGTGATAATGATTCATGGGGAAATTCGTCATCAGACACTGAAAACGATTTTGCGACTTTGCTCAGTGATGTGCGAACTTGGAGCTATATTTCAAATTTCAGTGTTTTTGGTTTGATTATATTATTGAATTAAATTTATTATTATTTTATTATTTTTTTTTATGGTTATTTATTAAATTATAATTTATGATTTCATGTTTCAAATTGTAACATACCCGGGATGTTTACTAGACTCTTGTTCGGACAGATTTGAGTGAGTTATTCCTAAATATTACAGGCCTACAATAACAAAAATAAATATTTCCATGTAAAAAAATGTACTGCTTTGAGCACAGAAATATGGACATAATCAGACCGCTAGGAAGGTTAAAAGTAATAAAAAAAAAAAGCACCCTTGCCCCCGGCACCTGCATGTGTGAGTGTTGTCCCTGTGCCAGTATGTAAACAGCAGTTGCAGCATGCATGTGAGGTATTGCCATGAACGTCAGATCAAGGGCAGTAATTCTTGCACTAGACCTCCTCTGTAAATCTAAAATGATAGCTTGTAAAGGCTTTTAAAGTGTTGCCTATGGATATTAAAAATGTATGCAGTTTTTTTTCCATTGCACAGGGAATGCGCAGTTTTAAAGCATGTCATGTGTGGTTTCTGTTTACTTGACATACCATCATCTTTTATATTTTACCAAATAATTGACCATAATATTGTGTTTTTGTGCATTAAAAGTTAAAAAGTGTATTATTTTAAAAAATATGCGTTTGAAAAATTGCTGCGTGAGTACTATGTGACATAAAAATTTGCATCCAAAAACTCTACGCATTTAGTTACTTAGTTCACTTCTTCAGGAGTAGATGCATGTATAATTCTTGATGTTTTACCTTGC